TTTCCAGGTTTCTCTGGGGCGCGCTGGGCTCACAGGAAGAGCCCACACCTACCTCACAGCACCCTGTCCTGCCTCGTTCGTCCGGCATTTCCCGATGGGCAGCAGGCCAGGGAGGTGGGGGAACGGGTGGTCAGGGCAGCCCAGAAGTGGGGCGCAGACCCGGGGCAGGGGCCCAGCTTTTAAGAGAGCAAACCCCCAGTTTTTCCGTCCGTCCGCTGCCCCCCAGCACACTCACCCACCTGCAGAGCAGGCTGTGGGCGGGTAGCCGGGGAGAGGCTTCTCGCTGCGGGGACGCAGCTGCACTAACCCCCCGCCTGCCCAGAAGCCCAGTGCCGCTGACGGCCTCTTCCAGACTCGCATCTCTGCCTGGTCCCACGGGAGCCCACAGCCTCCTGACTCTGCTCAGCGGTCCCTGGAAAGTCTGCTTTCCCTGTGTGCCGTTCCGGGGGGGGGGGTGGTGCTCATGGCCCTAATGCTTGTGCAGGCTCAGCAGAGGCTGATGTAGCTGACCTGAGGCCGCCAGGGGCCTTTCCCTTCTTTCTGGGCTCTCTGGTCTCCAGCACCCCTGGGCTGTGGTGCTCAGACTTTTCTGTGCATACCAATGCCCTGGGGCATGTGCTAAAATGCAGATTCCCAGGCTTTGTGCCAAAGATTTGCATTTATAAGTCTGCAGGGGCCTGGGGGGCCCAGTCCACTCTTGCAGGTTGGGTGCAACTGCGCAACCTCAGGCTGTGCCTGGAGGGGACTCACATCTTCTCCATGAGAGCACGGCAGCCACCCTCACGGGCCCACCCCACTTCCAGGAACAGGTGACCCCGCTCACCTGGCTGATGTCACTGGTCCACGCTGCCTTCTCCTGTCTGGACGAGGCCACCAGGATGACAGTGAAAGGTGGGGAGTCCTTGGGCTCCACCCCGATCTTAAAATCCAAGTGGTCTATGTCTTGGTTGGATCCTTTGGCTTCCGGATGGCAAAACGCGGAGTTAGAATGATCAGGGCTCCCTGAGCTGGGGAAGCTCCGAAGGGCCGTGCCTGTCTGACCTCCAGGGGGAGGTGCTGTGGCGGCCGGGCGCCAGGCCACTTGCAGTGCTGGACATTCTCCCCCGCACCCCCTGGGGCCCCACCCTCAACAGATGGACAGAGCAAGGGCCTGGGCTGAGATGCAGCTCACAACACGCGGGCAGCCTGGGGACAGAGCTGTGGGGCCGCCCTCTGCCCTTGTTACACCTTGGGGCAGCCGAGGTCAGGAGTGAGGATGTCCTGGAGACCCTCCCCGGCAGCGAGGCCAGGACGAGAATGGTTTCAGGGCGGGGCCGTCCTGCCATCCCAGGGGGGCCGGATGGGGAACTTCAGATCTCACACTTCCACGGCCACGACCGACCGGACGTTTAGCTCCTTTGGAGCTCCCCAAGGGCAAAGTGCCTTCTCTGTATTTTAGTTGCTGTTCTCAACCTGAAAGCTTCCTTCAGCTCTTGGAGCCAGAAGACTGAGCTCACAGTTTACGATGCCTTCACTGAGCCCATGTGAACCGGGAACCGCGTGGCGGAACAGCGTGGCAGCCTGGCCCCATCCTGGGGTTGCTATGTGGCCGTGGGGGGCGCCCTTCCCGCCCAGGCTGCAGGTGCCTCTGTGTAAATTTAGAGCCGATGTGGGGTCTCTGGGGCCCCCAGCCTTCCAGTTCGGACCCTGGAGGATTGCGGGGTTCTCTGATGGGCACGGGAGATCCTGCTCTGTGTGGGGACTTGGGGACAGGATGGAGCCGGGTCCCCTGAGAAGTGGGGCGCCTGCCTGTGTGAGGGTGCCTCACAGCACGGGGCCTCTACCTCCCTTGGCCCTGGAGGGAAAGTGGCTTTGGGGCCTGACCATTGCACTGGGGCCTGGGCTTTCCCGTGGCCAAGGGCGCTCCAGCCAGACTGTTCAAGTTTATCCTTCCCCTGGGGGTGCCTGGCTCGGCTCCAGCGGACGGGCAGGGAAGGCACGGAGCCCTGCTGTCGGGGCTGACTGGGGGCAGGGGCCTGAGTGTGTGTGGACGAGAGTCCTGTGCCCGGCAAACCCCCAGCCTGAGCCCCCTGCCGGGACCAGGACTCGAGGTGGTTCGGAGGCACCCTGCTCTGGGGCACCCTGGTCTGGGGAGGGGCGAAGATGCAGGGTCCTGTGCCCTGGGACACCAGGACCTACCTCAGCCCAGGCACGTGACACTGGCGACCCCAGCCTGTAACCTAAAACAATGACCCCCTCTCCCAGGGAGGGAAATCCCACAGAGCCCCTCCCCCTCTGCTGGGGCAGACCCCCTACTCCCCCGCTGGTGTCACGTGTCCCCACACCTCCCACTGGAGGACACAGCAGGCCCAGGGCCTTCCCGGCCTCTTGTGCAAGACCCAGGGCAGCCACCGTGCGTGGTGCCCGTGGACCTGTGCATGTGGCTGCTCGGCAGAGTGCAGTGACCCCAGACTGAACAGTGCCAACAATCCGGGGGCCCTGAGGGGTGTGGGAGGAACGGGGGAGGTTGACCGAGGCCCCCTCATGTGGCCCGGCCTCCCCGGGTCTAGGACCGGGATGGCCCCCTGACTCAGCAGGTCGGGTGGGTGAGAGTGCGTGAGCGGCTGTGCGCATGCGTGCGGCTCCCAGTACCTTCTTCCTCTGTGCTCTCTGGGTCCTCCAGCAAGGTGCAGTCGATGAGGGAGATGACCCCGTTCTGAAAGACAGCAGGGCCGCCTCAAGTGACCAGGACACGGCTGGAGAAGGGCCCGGGATTCGGGGGGCGGCCTTAGGAGGGCGTGCGTGTCAGGTTTTCACGTGGAAGGCTGTGCTCTTCACATCGGGGCCCCATGAAGTGGATCAGAAGGGGGACTGTCTCAGAGGGGCTTTCCTGGGATGAGGGTCAAGGGTGGGCAGGGGCGGGGGGCCTGGAATCCCTGATTCTGGGCTGAGACTTCACATCCACATCCTGGACACAGGTTTACTGGACTCCCCACGGGCCTTGTTCTGATTTCACAGACGGGATGAGATCAGAGAGGGGGCCGTGCCCGAGATTACCAGACCCTGAGAGCCTGGGGGCCTGACCTTAGGCCCCACGCTGGTTGCCTATTATTGGGAGGCATCTGGGAAAGTGCCTCCCATCCTTCAGTGTGGGAGCATCTCCGGGCATCAGACGCCCTGACGCCTCGGTGAATGGTGACCACAGCTGCGGGCGCAAGATGCTGACGCCTCCTCCCAGAGCTGAGGTCCGCTCCCCTCCCTGCCAGGTGTGGGCCGGACTCCATCTGAACTGCTTCTCCGATGCTGTGTGCCTGGGGGGGCCCTTGCTCTGTGGGGGTCCCTTGGACCACCTGTTCTGGGGGAAGCCCAAGTGCCACGTGAGGGCATCACAGTGGAGACGCTAGTACAGCTCCGGGGACTGGATGCTAGCTCGTGAGACCCCAGGCCCACCCCCAGCCATGGGCTCCAGGCCTCCTCACTCAGAAGCTGAGACCGTGGACGTGGGGTAATCTGTCCCACGGAGCAGAGAAGTGGGTAAGTGATGTAATAACGATGGCGACAGAGACGCTGGCCACGCATTCAATTCACACACACAGTGTTTGCAGGGCAGGCTGTCCAGGGGGCAGGGGGCACGGGAGGGGCATCGGGGTGTCCCCAGATCATGGGTTCTGCTTCTTGTTGGCTGTTTGGTGGCCTTGGGCAAGCCCCAGGCTTGATGGTCTGCAAAGCTCCATCTCTCTCTGACGTTCTCTTCCTTCTGTTGACTTTGAGCCTGTGGTTCAAGAACACAGACTGCCTGCCTGGGCTCAAATCCCCACTCTGCTGCTTGCCGGCTTCCCGACGCCTCAAGTCCTTTATCCATAAAATGGGGGAGGTAACAGCAGTGGCTTCAGTGGGCTGTTCTGAGCTAAGTGTGCATATTTGGGGGGTGCCTGGCCCACAGTAATGTTTACCCAAGGGCTCGCTACCACTAGCATTATTACAAGTTCATTGTTATATAATTAAAAGTGACAACGACTTTTACCCGCCAAGCACGTACTGAGTCCCAGGCACCGCGCTACGCGATCTGCACCCACTCCCTTAATACTTACACCATCCCCGAGGGAGGTGTTCTCACTCCCATTGTGCAGATGGATAAACCGAGGCTCGGTGGGGCACCTGCTGGCAGGGGGCAGTGCTGGGACTCGAGCAGCATTTCTGTGTTCCTTATGCTAAAATACTTGCAAAGCTCCGACAAACACCCCCAACCAAAATAAAACAAAACGACCAAACGTAAAGACACCTGGCTTCAGGCAGCGTCTCTGGTTCAACCCGCCCCACCGATGCCGCCTCCAGCCTGACAGGGTCCTCAGAGCAGGAACCCAGAGCTAATAAACGAGGAAAGCTCTCCGGGATGCGGAGTTTGCTGGAACTGGAGTATTGGCTGTAAGCTACCTTCCCCTCGGGCAGCCAAGTGGCTGACCTGTCGCTGTGTTCGCACAAGCAGCACGTCCCCGGAGCCACGGGGTCTTGTAGCTGCAGGGGGTCCTGGGGCAGGTGGCCCGGGTCCTCCAGAGCCGTCTGCCCGACGCTCTGGCTTAATTAAGGGCACCTTCCGGCCTTTTCCAGGCCGCAGCTGCACAGCCGAGACCCTCCGAAGCGAGCTTCCCCGGGAGGCTGCGGTTCATAGTGCAGGTGCGTCGCCTCGACCGGGCAGGTGTGGCCCCACCGCCTGCCTCTGGTGATGGCTACCCCTGCTTTGCGGCAGGGAACTGAGGTAGAGACGGGAGGCGGGGGCTGTTCTGGGCCCTCCTGTGTGCACCAAGCCGGGGCCAGGTCCGGAGCTCAGGGCAGTGAGGGAAGTGATGTGCCAGGCTGGGTGCAGGCTGACAGCAAGTGGCATCTTAGCCGCGAAGGGCAGGAAGACGGGCTTCTGGGGGGAAGAAGTGGGCAGCAGGAGCCAAGGCTCTGCGGTCGGTGAAGGAGCAGAACTCTGAGGTGCTGATTCTCCTTCACCTTTGTCCTCTGTGACTATTAAATTGTCCGGGGAGGCGGAGTGCCATCCTCGGCGACCACAAATCATGCCGCCGAGTTTCCCACGTTTGGGGAAATTGCAGGGTTCAGCACATCCGGCCGGTGGATAAGCCTCCCCCTGGGAAAACCAGGTTCGTGACCATGGTACCCCCAGCCAGTGCCTATTTTGAGGACAGGTCAATCAGCGAGTGTGTGGGGTCTCCCGTAGGGCCCTGGGGCCATGAGGACCCACCCGCGTGTCGGCGCTCGTGCTGGCGCGTCAGGTCCAAGACACCCCGTGAGCTGCTGCGGGAGCTTCTCCTCAACAGAGGCTCCGGTGCTGCTCTGGCCCCTGCGGGGGACCCCCTCCCGCCGGCCCGCACACGCCGGCAGACACACGCACAGCACATGTGCACGCGCCGGCAGACACATGCACACATGTGTGCACCCCTAGGGTTTTAGACCCCTGGCCCCCCGCCCTGGCACCAGAGGTCCTGACACGCACGCCCCCGTTCCCCATGATTCCCCAGCAGAGAACCGCCCGTCAGAGCAGTGCACACGCGTGCACTCATGTGTCTCTGACGCCCCGGACCACCGTCTGGGCCCAGGTCAGGGTCAGCCAGGACGCCAGGTGCCCCCTGCGGCCCTCACCTTGGTCAGGTGGAGTTTCCCGCCGGAACCCCTGGTGCAGATGATGAGATGCTTGGAGAACAGGAAACACTGTCGCTCACCCTCTTTCTTCAGGGACAGAGAGCCCAGGCGGCCCCTGGTGATCTTGCCCTTCTCAGACATGGGCACCTGGATGAGGGAGCCTGCGGGTGGGGGGCAGACCCTGAGCCCGGCTCCCAGAGCCCCATCTGCTGCCGGCCAGCTCAGAGATGGGTCACCATGTGGGGACGAGGGGGTCCTAGGTCTTGGTAGCAGGTGCACCTGGACGCTCCCTCGACCCCCAGCCAGTCCCTGCAGGACACCTCAGGCCCCCACCAGAGTCCTAGAACCCCTCAGCCCCCCCGCCAAGGCCCTGGAACCCCTCAGCCCCTCCCAGGACCCTGGAACCCCTCAGCCCCTGCCAGGGCCCTGGAACCCCTCAGCCCCCCCGCCAGGGCCCTGGAACCCCTCAGCCCCTGCCAGGGCCCTGGAACCCCTCAGCCCCCGGAACCCCTCAGCCCCCTCTCCCAGGGCCCTGGAACCCCTCAGCCCCTGCCAGGGCCCTGGAACCCCTCAGCCCCCCCCTCCCAGGGCCCTGGAACCCCTCAGCCCCCCCGCCCGGGCCCTTGGAACCCCCCACCCCCCCCCCCCAGGGCCCTGGAAAGTGGAGGGGCTTCCAGGGCAGGGCCCATGTGGCAGGAATGCAGGGTGGCGCTGGGGTGTGGGGACGAGGGGGTCCTAGGTCTTGGTAGCAGGTGCACCTGGACGCTCCCTCGACCCCCAGCCAGTCCCTGCAGGACACCTCAGGCCCCCACCAGAGTCCTAGAACCCCTCAGCCCCCCTCCCAGGGCCCTGGAACCCCTCAGCCCCTCCCGGGGCCCTGGAACCCCTCAGCCCCCCCGCCAGGGCCCTGGAACCCCTCAGCCCCCCCTCCCAGGGCCCTGGAACCCCTCAGACCCTGCTCCCAGGGCCCTGGAAAGTGGAGGGGCTTCCAGGGCAGGGCCCATGTGGCAGGAATGCAGGGTGGCGCTGGGGTCTGGGGAGCAGCACACGCGGGGAGCCGGCTTTGGCGCAGACGGGCGAGTGCCAGGCATAGCCCTGCAGCCACAGAGGCCATGACAGCTCAGGCATGGCACACTGGCCCCGTTCCCGATACCGCATGCTAGAGGCCGCTCCTGGGCAGAGCCATCTCGGGGACAAAGCCACCTGCCACCCCTGCTCCCGCCCCACCCCTCCCTTCCCCTCGCCTTCCAGCAGTCAGGCACTGGGGAGCCTTCTCCCGAGCTCCCTCCTGTGGCTCCCTGAGTCCCGCCCTTTGGTGGGAAAGTCCTTCCTTTCCACGCTGCCGTGAGCTCCTATCTGTCCTCCCCTCCCAGAAAGGCCTCCCTGACTCCCCTTGCCCTGCCTCTCGCCCCGTCTGGCACTGCCTGGAGCCTGTCCTGCGTCTGTCTCATCAGGACCCCCTGCACTGTCCGCTCCTGGAGGGAGCCTCCTCTCTGGGTGTCCCTGGCACCCAGCGTTGGCCTGGCACGAACGAGGCAGGTGCCAGCGCTCGATGCATGATGAACGAGTGAGAAACGGCTTCTGAACCCAAAATCCCAGGGGAGGGAGGAAGCCCTCTGCTCAGGGACATGCCCATGCCAGCAGGGGCTGTTGTTTGGCATTCCAGCGTGGACCCAATGCTACTCAGTTTGGGCAGGGTGAGCAGGGGAAGGGCCCCAGGGGCCACATGGGGCTTTGAGCAAAATCCAGCTGCCCAGGCTGCAGGTGTGGGCATGACGTCCACAGCCCTCCACACTCGGCAGACACTGGCTTGGAGGTGTCCGTGGGGCCGCGGGGGGCGGGGGAGGGCAGGCGGGGGGACGCACCTTGTCTCACGAAGGTCTGGCTGGTGTCCAGCAGGATCTCACAGCCCTCAATAATCATGCGCTCGATGGCAAGGTTTTTCCGGATGTTCTCTGTCTCGCTCACTTCATCGTGCATTATCCTGTGGGGACAGGAAAGAAGTCAGAGACAGGAGGAGACCATGACCAGGCCTCTGGGCAGTCCTGGCAGGAAAGCCCGGCCCCCAGGCTTCTCCGAGCTTGCAGTCCTGAAGGGGCAGAGAGCATGTGTTTGTCAAACGCCCACTGTGCCCAGGACACTCAACAGGCATGATCTCATTTTACTCTTCTGGAAACCCAAGGAGGTCAATGTTCTTATTTCACAGAAAAGGAAACGGAGGTCAACAATTGAGGAAGCAGGTCTGTCTGATCTAAAAGTCTGAACCACGTGGAACAGAACAGCAGAACGCAGAGGAAGATGGCAGCCCACAAGCATCCTTTGGTCATTACTCTGGTCCTCAGGCCACTGCTGACCCTATTTCCGCCCACAGAACAAACCACGTTCATCCCTGCCTCAAGGCCTTTGCACTTGCTGTTTTTTCCTTTGAATCCTTTTAAATGGTTGTTTCCTTAACGTCGTTTGGGTTCCGGATTTAGTTTTGGGGCACCGGCAACCCAGTGGGCTCAGGGGGACCTGACTTCAGTCTACGTCCACAGGCTCCAGCCCGTCTGGGAGGGAAGCAGGACACAGCCGGCGCTATTCTGAGACTCCAGGCACCTCTCCCTTGTGTCCTGTTCTGACAGACGCAGCACCTGTCCTTTCCAAGAGGTGGCGCCAGTTACCTAGTTTTAATTACGAGCGTTGTCAGAAAAGGTGGCCGAGTTTTCGGGGCTCAGGAAGGTGATGGGTAATTTTGGGGAGAGGTCTGGAAAACGTGCCCAACATACCCCAGGAGAGGCACAAAGCCCCATTTTGTCTGCTGATTCCACAACTAGGGGCCGCCCGTTGGGCTGGTGTGTGGCCTGTGACAGCAGCACAGTGCTGAGTGGTGACACCTCTGTCCCGAGCTCCCGCAGCAGGACCTGGCGTGAGGATGGGGGATGGTGCACTCTGCGCGCTGACCCTGCGTCTGACATGCGGCACGCGCTTCAGCAACAGGCAGGTCACTTAACGCATAGTTCTGTTTCTTCCTCTGGTTATCAGACGGAGCCTCGGTGCCCCGTGATGCTGTCGTCAGAGCCCAGGCTCTGGCCCTCCTCCGGGAGGGACCTTAGGCAGGGAGGCACCTGTTGGGGCTGTGCTGGCACCTGGGGCTGGGAGTCAGCACCCAGGGTAACCGAAGCCTTTTCATCTTCTCCTGGGAAAGGGCTGCATTTAGTGAAAAATAAGGGGTGATTCCCAAGTAGAGAAACTGGTTTCATCACCAGGCAAATGTGAACTGAAGCTGATGAGAACATGTCAGTCCTGGGCCTGGGACTGCATCCCGGTGTGGGCTGCACGCCTGGCTGAGGGCTCAGGGAAGGGCTGGGGTCTGGGTCCTGGCACAGGGTGCACTTCCAGCTGGGGGGCCTTGGGAAGGGCCAGGGTCTGGGTCCCGGCGTGGGCTGCACACGGCTGGGGGGCTCGGGGAAGGGCCGGGGGTCTGGGTCCTGGTGTGGAGTGCACTCACAGCTGGGGGCTGGGGGAAGGGCAAGGGTCTGTGTCCCGGCACGGGCTGCACCCCAGCTGGGGGCTCGGGGAAGGGCAAGGGTCTGGGTCCCGGTGCGGGCTGCACACGGCTGGGGGCGGTGCCTGGTTCTCTGTGAGCCCTGCGGGTGAGGGCCGCCCATCTCAGGGAGGTGGGTGTCTGTGAGCACAGCTCAGGAGGGGCTGGAAGCTCTCCTCAGGGCCCCAGGGCAGGGTGGGGGACCCAGGCGCAGGTAACTGGCTGGGACAGAGGAAGAGCAGGTCCCATGCTCAGGCCCTCGGGGGAAGGGAGCCGGGGTCTCAGGCCAGACACCGTGGCCCGCGTGTGTCCCCGGACCCTGCCTGCACAGGACAGGGTGCCTGGCAGTGACGAGGCTCGCTGCTGCACAGGCCCCAAACCTCTCCTGGGGGAGGGTGTGCAGGGACCGCTCCCTGGGGCCTGAAAGGACTGGGCGCCCACTCCCCCGGGGTTTTGTTTATCTGAAATCACACCCCGAGGACACCCCGCCCTGGTCCAGCCAGCCCTCCCTCTGCCCAGGTGGGAGCTGAGGCCCGGCCTGCGGCCCCATCAGCCTGGGGAAGCCTTGTGAGGCGAGTGGCTGGCAGGCCCGGGCAGGGCGGGGGCCCCACGCAGGTGGGCTCAGCCTGCTCTGCAGGGCTCAGGGCCCCTCCAGTCTGGGCTCCACGCGGTGCAGCCCCCGTGGTGTCACCAGCCTCCTGACGGGCACGTCTCTGAGCTGACGCCCTGACGCCCAGAAACAAATGCCCTGGCCCTTCCTGCCATCTGTGGAGTCCGCCGTCCGAGGTCCAGCCCAGCCCCAGGGAAAACTCCACGGAACAGGAAGGACTCCCCTCCAAACCGCCCCCCGCAGTCTTCTCAGTCCGGGGCCTCCAATCCCTGCCTCTGCGTCCCGCCCGCCAGAGACCCCTCTCTTCAAAATGCACCTGGGATCCGAGGCTCCTCCTCACCCCCACCCGTCGGCCACCATCATCTCCTGCTTGGGGGGCTGCCTGGGTGGCGGTGGGGG